ACTTGTGCATGTGAATATACATTCTTACAATTAAATTAAATTGAGTTTACTTTCATTTTTTCTTTAAATAAATAGATTTTTCATTCACCAACATATGAATAAGTCATCAAATATTGTTTATGAAATAAATAAATTATGATAACAAACTAATAAATATATATATATATATATATATATATATATAAAAGAAAAAAATTGTATTTATCTGTTCCGAAGATATGTTAAAAATATAGATGAAATACACTTTTTGAGACTTTCTCTTTTAGAAAGTCACCACCACCCTGCGCAATATTATGAATATGAAATGATGGTATCTAGCTTTCTAAACATCACAGTGGAAGAGAAAAAAACTGAATCAAAATTTTTTCTCTCTCACTATACTACTCTTTGTTTACTCTGCTCTTGGTTAAGATTATTTTATATCCCAAAAGCTATAATGAGTCCTTATTTTCTGAAAATGCTTTATGTTCTGCTTTTATTGCATACCTCAGTAATTGTTGTGCCATTCAACAACTCTACTGAAAGTAGTGAACCAAAGTGCATAGAGAGGGAGAGGCAAGCCCTCCTTAGCTTCAAACATAGCCTCGTAGATAACTGTGGCATGCTGTCTACTTGGAGTGACGATCACACAGATTGCTGCAAATGGAAAGGCGTTCAGTGCCACAATCAAACTGGTCTTGTACAGCTACTTGTTCTTCATGGAAACAGTAACACGTATTTGAGTGGTGCAATCAATTTCACTTCTTTGATTCACTTGCAATATATTCAACATCTGGATCTCAGCGATAATCAATTTATTAGTTACATACCAGAGTTTATAGGCTCCTTCACCAACTTAAGATATCTTAATCTCTCCAATTCTTATTTTGTAGGAAGGATTCCTTCTAAACTTGGAAATCTTATACAACTTCGCTATCTGGATGTTGGTAATAATTATCTTTGGGGAGAAATTGTTGATTTAAACTGTAATTGAATATGATCTTCATCCTAATGATCAAACATATATCTATAATCCCATACTGAAAACATGTTATATAAACTGAATGCGAAAGCGTACCTGAATTAGCCATAACGATGATGTCTTTGTAGAGCACTATATTGATCTTATGGTCTTCCACCTGAAGAGCACCTGTATTTCCCTCTTGATTTTCTCTCTTGATGGGGATAGAGAGAAAGGAACGGGACTGTAACTACGTTCTGTCTGTGTGCTCTCAGAAGGGGACCATGACCCTTTAGATAACCAGAATTAGGTTAATTACTTAAGTTTTAGTATTTCCAATTTGGCCCCTCATCAAATTAGAAATTGCTCTATGGTCTCTACACAATTTTATTTTCATGACATATGCTTTTAGCAAAAACTTTAATTTAGTCAGATCACTTTATTATTTGGCTTAATAAATAATGGTCCTAACACATTTAAATATGTATCATATATATACATGACCCAAATTTTTCCAACAATCTCCCACTGGTCACAAATATATATGTCCTTACAACCTTACAAATGTGTTAGACTTTATGAGCTCAAAGTGCCATTATATTCCTTTAGCATACTTTAAAAGTCCTGTCCATTAATCATATTAGGATATAGAACCAAACCAGCTTTTCATTGCATCATCGCAACTAAAACCAACAATGATTACTCATCCTAACATAACCAAATGACATGGATTCATCATGAAATGTGTAGCATGAAAAATTACGTGAAGGTGATCTGTACACGTCTATTTTCAACTGGTCCAAACTTTAAGTTATTGAGATCGATATAATATCCTTAATGTACAAAGTGTAATGAATGAACGAAAAAACCGCATATCTATAGATAACCAAATATGTCCAAAAAAACAATGTATACATATATGAAATTAAACATAGAACATAAAATATATCAAAGTGACTAACTCCCACTAAACCACAAATTCCTCAAACTGTAAAACACCCATGTGAGCAAAATGCTCATGAAAGACCTTGGGCGGAAGTCCTTTAGTCAGAGGATCTGGTATCATGGAGTTTGTCCTTAAGTGTTCTATGAAAATCTGTCCACTTTGTACTCTTTCCTTAACAATACAGCTGATTTATTGTCACAATATAACTTAAGTGGTCTTTCAATGCCTTTCACAATTTGCAGCCCTGTGACAAAATTTATCAGCCATATTCCATGATTTGATACCTCATAGCAAGTTACAAATTCTTGACATTCTACAAAATCTGAGTCAGAAAACCCAGCGATCTCCAACTGGTCTGACCTCCTATATGTGAGCATATAATCTTTTGTTCTCTTTAAATATCTTATGACCCTTTTTGCTGCTTTTCAATGGTCTATTCCTGGATTGCTTAAATATCTGCCTAGAACCCCAACTATATATGCTATGTCTGGATGCGTACATACTTGGGCATAGATCAAACTCCCTACAACTGATGCATAGGGAATCTTTTGCATTTCCTCAATTTCCAAATTCCCTTTGGGCACTGATTGAGACTAAACTTGTCTCCCTTTAAACTTGTGATACATACAATCATCAACAATATTCATCTTGAAGCCAAATGAGTTTCATACCTTCTGGTAATGGGACAAGTTCGCAATAACCTTATTGTCTTGCATGGACTTATACTTATCCTATTGCTTCAATCCACTTTTGAGATTTAGAACCTTATATAACTTGACGGAAGTTAACTGGGTCATCTTCCATTATATCATTATTTTCCTCATGTTCCTGAAGAAATACCATGTAATCATCCGAAATAACACTTCTTCTTTCTCTAGTGGATCTCTGCAAAGTTATTAGCTCATGATGCACAGGTTCTTGAGGATCTTGAGTTTGTTCTTTATGAACAACCAAATCATCTTGAGTAAGGGGTTCATCAACAATGCCTTGTGGAGGTTCCGAACTTACTTTATCAAAAGTAACTATTTGAATTGGTTCTGAAATTGTTACCGATTCTTCCTCCAAGATGAAGTTCTTAATCTTATTCTTCCCCCAAACTCAATATCCTCAAAGAACGTAGCAGTTCCCGTCTCAAAAAATTGTCTTTAATGTGGGATCATAATATTTATATCCCCTGGATCTTTCAAGCATAACCAATAATATAACCACTTACTCGTTCGGAGTCCAATTAAACTAATTATGCTCACATTATATAAAAAATAAATAATATATATTCAAATAGTGGTTTAACCCATCTCAAGATACCCAATGCACCATCAATATCAAGTCTTTGGACAGTAATATTAACTGTTAGAGGTATCTTGTTGTAATAATCAAACATTGACAATAAAGCACGTCCAACAACAAACCAGTCTTTGGATTGATTTATCATCGACAAAGCAAATCCTTATAATTATCACATGTTTATCATTACAAGTGTGTATGCAATTCGGCCAAATATTAATCTTCCTTTGGGCCGACTAATACTCGCATGAATATACACAAACACTAACATTCAATATTTTTCATGAACTGCCCAATTCAAGAGAAGTTACTTTGGTGACTTCTTGACTCAATTTGCTCACAAAAAATATTAAACTACCAAAATTGAATATTTTATTTATATAACAAAACCAAATATTTAATATTTGCAAACTAATTCAAAAGAGAATCACCTCATTATAATTCTACTAAGGATGAACACCTCCCTAGAATCTCATTAGGGATGAACAAACAAATCAAAGGATGAAAAAAGGCCTCATTTTCCACCAATACATAAAGGATGAACATCTTCCTAAAATCACACTAGGGATGAAACCGAGATAGTTACGAGTCTCTTTAGCATACTTGCTCTAAACCCTAAAAGGGAATTAAACGAGTAATCACTCGAGACCCTAATTTAACATCAAATTTTCCTTAAATTCCTAGGGGATAGAGGCAATAAAATAATAACAGCCAAACATGTGGAAACATTCATCATTTACCTAAGATTCTCTGTGTTGGGAACTCCACAAACACCACCCCCAATTCCAAACCCATAAAATTAAATAAAAACAAAAGATTCAAAAAAGAACAGAGAACCCAATACAAGAAAAATTGAAATATGAAACACTGTTTCTTTCTCAGTAAAACTTGAAACTTAAACTCGAAACAAAAGTGAAAAACGAAGAAGAAGAAGAATCCATAGCTTCCTCCACGGTTCCATCGACGAAGCGGAATCAGATTGGGGATGTTACCCCCAAATTTAAATTTTAGGGTTCACAAAAATTAGAGATTATCCTCCACTTAGGGTTCATAAAATTGGGTAATCTGAATTGTTTAAAACAAAATTAATCCTAATTTTCATAATTAAGGTTCTATAAATTAAACAGACATGAATCAAATATGGGCGGCTCTGATACCAATTGTTGGAAAATTAATAATAATAATAATAATCCTGATTTTGATTCTAACAATCAAACATATATCTATAATCCCATACTGAAAACATGTTATATAAACTGAATGCGAAAGCGTACCTGAATTAGCCATAACGATGATGTCTTTGTAGAGCACTATATTGATCTTATGGTCTTCCACCTGAAGAGCACCTGTATTTCCCTCTTGATTTTCTCTCTTGATGGGGATAGAGAGAAAGGAACGGGACTGTAACTACGTTCTGTCTGTGTGCTCTCAGAAGGGGACCATGACCCTTTAGATAACCAGAATTAGGTTAATTACTTAAGTTTTAGTATTTCCAATTTGGCCCCTCATCAAATTAGAAATTGCTCTATGGTCTCTACACAATTTTATTTTCATGACATATGCTTTTAGCCAAAACTTTAATTTAGTCAGATCACTTTATTATTTGGCTTAATAAATAATGGTCCTAACACATTTAAATATGTATCATATATATACATGACCCAAATTTTTCCAACAGAAATTCCTATTCAGATTGGGAATCTCAAACACCTACAGTATCTCGATCTTTGAGGATATTTTCTTTCCGGAAAAATCCCATGTCAAATTGAGAATCTCAGAAAGCTGCAATATCTCAGTCTTGGGAGTAACACTCTTCTAAATAGAAGGAGTATGGAAGAGTACATGTCAAACACCCTTTATGGAGGAATCCCTTTTCACATCGGGAATCTTTCATTATTGCATACTCTTCGATTAGGTGGCAATTTTGATACAAAAGCTGAGGATGCAAAGTGGTTGTCTACTCTCCATTCCTTGACAACTCTTGAGCTGAGTTCAGTGCGTAAACTTGGCTCCTCTCACCAGTGGCTACAAAGCATTAGTAAGCTCATTCCAAACTTAACAGAGTTGAGGCTAATTGATTGTAATCTTTTGGATTATGATATTCAATCATTGTTCCATTCTCCTTCTTCTAACTTTTCCACTTCTCTTACCATCCTAGATCTCTCTTCTAATATGTTGACATCACCATCAACACTTCAACTCCTGTTTAACTTTAGCCTCCATCTTCAAGAGCTTTATCTTTCTTATAATAATATTGATTTGTCAATTTCTCTACGTCTAAATTTCCCATCTCTTAAGACCCTCGACATCTCTTATAGTAGTCTACCATCATCGATGTTTCTAGCTAATTTTAATATCAGCTCCAAACTACAAGAGCTTTATCTAAGAAACTGCAGTCTTGTAGATAGAAATTTCCTTGTTTCATCTAGTTCTACAATGAATTCTTTTTCTTCTCTTCTCTACCTTGATCTCTCCCACAACTTGTTAAAATCATGCTCCGTATTTTACTGGCTTTCTAACTTCACTACAAATCTTCGTACCCTTTACCTTCCTTATAATTTCTTAGAAGGTCCCATTCCAGATGATTTTGGGAAAGCGATGAAATATCTTGTAAATCTTGTTTTTGTTGAACATTCAAGGACTTGATGTTAGACTTGATGGACATGAGGCTTGTTGATTTTGATGATGATTCAAGAACACAAGAACATAGAGAGTTGAAGACTTGTTTTATAATGTAATAACTCTATTTTGATTAGATTGAGTCTGTAATATTAGAGTTTGAGATAGCCGGTACATAGTCTGCACCTTAGAAGCTTCAAAAAGCTCAATTTTATCAAAGTGTCTCGGCTTTAATCGATTAAATGGTGAAATAATCGATTAAAACAGTGAGAAAAATCATTTTCTGTATCTGTTCACTAGTTTAATCGATTAACAAGTCTTTTAATGGATTAAAACAGAGAGTTTTTGGGTTCTGTTGATTTTGGCTCTGTAATAATCGATTAACACTTCATTTAATCGATTATTTCAGTCAGATTTTGATTTTTAACTTCAAATCAACCATATTTTCGAAAACCCTAATTCCAAGACTCCTAGTTTTGAAAATCCCAATTCCCAAACCCTAATTTCTCTACTTAAGCTTCTCTATGGCACTCAGAAAATTAGAACAACCTTTTTCATACAAAAGTTAAGTGTTGTGAGTGTCAGAGAACTGTTTGTTGCAAGAAAAATGGGCTTTTGGAACCTGGTGTGGGCTAGAAGCGATAAGAATCACTAAGTGGAGTTCTTAGTGGATTGTGTGTTGTGGCGTCTCTAGGGAAAGTTGTTCTTCATCTCTTGTGGATTTCAAGAGAGGTGTTTTCTTTACTTTATCTTTTTCATTGTAATTTGTTTGTAACAACTGTGATTATAGTGACAGCGTTAATCCTCTGTTTGAGTGATTAGCAACTGGACGTAGGGTCTTTTGATCCGAACCAGTATAAATCTCCTGTGTAAGATTCTATCTCTACTCTATTTACATTTACATAGATTTTTAATCGGTAAAATTTGGGGAAAATTTTGAAAACCTAATTTTTGTTAAGAAACCAATTCACCCCCCCTCTTGTTTTTTGTCCGACCACGCGAACATTCTGCTACGCGATTCTAACAAGTGGTATCAGAGATTGCTTTGATAGTCATTCAAACTTTTCGAAAATGGCCGGACAAAATCAAACTTTTGCCGAAGGTGCGTCTATCAACAGACCCCCACTTTTTGCGGGTCAAAATTATCCATTATGGAAAGTAAGAATGAAAATATTTTTAGAGTCTGTTGATAGAGGCGTTTGGGACGCTATTTTAAACGGTCCATATATTCCTAAAGTTACTGAGAACGGTGTTGACGTTACCAAACCTTTTTCTAGATGGACAACTGAGGAAAACAGAAAAGCACAATATGACGTTAAGGCTAGAAATATATAATTTCATCTGCTTTAACCCTTGACGAGTTTTACAGGATCTCTGTTTGTAAAAGTGCTCAAGAGATGTGGGAAAAACTAAGATTAACCTATGAAGGAACCGATGATAGTGACTCGATTTCGGAATCAAGTGACTCAGAAATAGAAGCTAACATTTGCTTGTTGGCAAAGGACAATATATTTTCCGATTTTGAGGTAAGTGATTCCGACTCATCTTCTAGTGATGATGATAATAACTATGATGAACTGCAAAATGCATATAATGAACTGTTTAGTGCTTTTAAGAATTTGAAAAATGAATATAAAGTTGTGAAGAAGAATTTAAGTAGATCCGAAAAGGAAATTGACTCTTTAAAAATGAAAATCACATGTTTAGAAGAAAAGGAATTCTTAGAAACGAAAATTGTATGTATAGATGAGAATGATGATAAGAATATAGTATGTGCAACTTGTAAAGAGCATGAATATGACATAGATATTCTTAATCATCTACTTGATAAAGCCGAAAAGGAGATAAGTGATTTTAAGAAGGATAGAACTATTTTTGCTCAAAATGGTGTAAATTATCAAGTTCCTTTGAAAAAGCCTAAAAGGAAAAACAAAAGAGTATGGGTAGAAAAAGGAACTAGATCATCTATTGTTAGAAATGTATCTTATTCTAAAGCTACATCTCAAGCATGTTTTTACTGTATGAAACAAGGTCACACTTCAAATAAATGTAAAATAAAACATTTTGGTGTTCCTAAAGGTAAATACATTTGGGTTCCAATTGTTAAATAATTTGTTTGTCTCTAACCCCAAGGACCCAAAAGTTATGGGGACCTAAGTTTACTATGTTCTTGTTTTGTAGGAAACTTCCAAATCAAAGAAGTTTATGTGGTATCTTGATAGTGGATGCTCAAAACATATGACCGGTGATAAAACTAAATTTGTGAGTTTCAAAGCTAAGGAACAAGGATATGTAACTTATGGGGACAACAACAAAGGGAAGATTCTTAGAATTGGAAATATAGGTGGTGCAAACACATTGGAGATTAAGGATGTGCTTCTTGTTGATGGACTAAAGCATAATCTCCTTAGCATAAGTCAACTATGTGACAAAGGATTTAAGGTAATATTTAAAAGTAAATTTTGCACCATACATTTGATAGATTCCAGAAATGTAGAATTAAAAGGCATTAGGCATAACAACATATACTTGATTGATTTGGATTGTTTACATGATTCTAGTATAACATGTTTAGTCGCTAAGGAAGAGAACCCTTGGTTATGGCATAAGAGAGCGGCTCATATAAATATGCATCATTTGAACAAATTGATTTCAAAGGACTTAGTTATTGGTTTGCCTAAGTTACAATTTGAAAAAGATAGATTGTGTGATGCATGTCAAAAAGGTAAACAAGTAAAATCATCATTTAAATCAAAGAATGTTATTTCCACTTCAAAACCCCTAGAATTATTACATTTAGATTTATTTGGACCTTCTAGGATAAAAAGCTTTGGTGGAAATTATTATGGCCTTGTGATTGTTGATGATTACTCTAGATATACTTGGACATTTTTCCTAACTACGAAAAGTGAAGCCTTTAAGGTCTTTAGAAAATTTGCAAAACAAATTCAAAATGAGAAAGACTTGAGAATTAAAGTTTTAAGAAGTGACCATGGTGGTGAGTTTCAAAATGAAAAGTTTGAAAATTATTGTGATGAAAATGGAATATTACATAACTTTTCTTCTCCTAGGACTCCCCAACAAAATGGTGTAGTTGAAAGGAAAAATAGGTCTTTAGAGGAACTAGCTAGAACAATGTTAAATGAATCTAATGTTCCTAAATATTTTTGGGCTGATGCAGTTAGTACTGCATGTTATGTTTTAAATCGAATGTTCATTAGGTCAATTATTAAATCTACTTCCTATGAATTGTTTAATGGTAGAAAACCTAATGTTGCTCATTTAAAGATATTTGGATGTAAGTGCTTTGTATTAAATAATGGAAAGGACAACTTAGGAAAATTTGACTCAAAAGCTGATGAGGACATTTTCTTAGGTTATTCATTAACTAGCAAGGCTTACAGGGTGTTTAATAGAAGAACTTTGAATATAGAAGAATCTATTCATGTTACTTTTGATGAAATTGTAGACCTTGGAGGAAATCCTCTTGAGTCAAATAAAGAACTTGCAGGTGATGATGAATATATAAGAGAGGCTCTTGATGAATTATATTTGGAAGAAAATGAGCCTTCTCAAACGCCTGAATTAGCAAAAGAATGACAATCACCTAGAGGACTCTCAATGGACAATATCATAGGTGACATCTCAAAAGGGGTAAGAACTAGAAATATGACTAATTTCTATATGTCTGTAGCTTTTGTGTCACAGATAGAACCCAAAAATGTTGAGGAAGCGCTTAAAGATGATCAATGGTGCATAGCCATGCAAGAAGAACTTAACCAATTTGAAAGGAATCAAGTCTGGGAATTAATCCCAAGAGAAGAATCACATCAAGTTATTGGAACCAAATGGGTGTTTAGAAATAAACTTGATGAAGATGGAAACATAACAAAGAATAAAGTCAGACTTGTTGCCAAAGGCTATTGTCAGGAGGAAGGTATAGATTATGATGAAACTTATGCTCCTGTTGCCATGTTAGAGGCTATACGCCTACTTCTTGCTTATGCATCTTTGATGAAATTTAAATTATATCAAATGGATGTTAAGAGTGCATTTTTGAATGGTTTTATTAAAGAAGAAGTTTATGTGGAGCAACCCCCTAGATTCAAGATTTTAGTTATCCTAATCATATTTTTAAATTAAAGAAAGCATTATATGGGTTGAAACAAGCTCCTAGATCTTGGTATGAAAGGCTAAGTAGTTTCCTAACATCAAATGATTTTTCTAGAGGAAAAATTGATTCTACTCTGTTTATAAAGAAAGTTAAAGAACATATCTTATTGGTCCAGGTATATGTTGATGATATTATTTTTGGATCAACTGATAATTCGTTGTGTGTAGAATTTGCTAAGATAATGCAGGGAGAGTTTGAAATGTCTATGATGGGAGAATTGACATTCTTCCTTGGACTACAAATCAAGCAACTTAAAGATGGCATTTTCATCTCTCAAACCAAATACTGCAAAGAGATTCTTAAAAAGTTTGGAATGGACACCTCAAAGGAAGCTAACACACCCATGGGAACTTCATGCTATTTAGACAAGGATGAATCAGGTTTGGAAGTTAATCAATCTATGTATAGAGGTATGATATGTTCACTGTTATACTTAACTGCAAGTAGACCTGATATTATGCATTCTGTCTGTGTGTGTGCTAGATTTCAGGCTTGTCCAAAAGAATCTCACCTAATTGCAGTAAAACATATTTTAAAATATTTAAAAGGAACTACTGGTTTTAGTTTATGGTATCCATCTGATGCTTGTACTAGTCTAATAGGATATTCTGATGCTGATTATGGTGGATGCAAAATTGATAGGAAAAGTACTAGTGGGACATGTCATTTGTTAGGTTCATCCTTAGTATCTTGGAATTCTAAGAAACAGGCATGTGTTGCTTTATCTACCACTGAAGCTGAATATATTGCAGCTGGTAATTGTTGTGCTCAAATTCTGTGGATGAAACAACAGCTAGAAGATTATAGTATATTTTTAAATGACATACCTTTGATGTGTGATAATACGAGTGCAATCAATCTTACTAAGAATCTAGTAATGCACTCTAGGACTAAGCACATAGAAATTAGACATCACTTTTTGAGAGATCATATCATCAAAGGAAACTGTAAAATAGAGTACGTTGATACAAAGCATCAATTAGAAGATATTTTTACTAAGTCTCTACCCAAGGATAGATTTTATGATCTTAGAAGAGACTTAGGGATACTAGAAATAGCTTAAATTCTGCTTAATCATACAGTTTTTGGATGATTGTAAGGATATAATTCATTATACAGGATGTTAATAGTTTATCATGTGTAAAAACCTCAAAAATTTGATGCACACTTTTATAGTGATAATGAAGAATTTTAAAGTTTGTTTCTTATTTATTCTTGTGTTGTAATGTATTTTCTCTTCTGAAATAAAATTTGGTATTCTTTTATTACTTTGATTAAGGGGGAGTTATCTCCAAGTTATGCATATTTTGAGGGGGAGCCCTTATGATTGTTATTGAAACATGCTTTCAATTTTTTATTATAATCAAAATAGGGGGAGAAATATTTAAAGCCTAATATTATTGTTTTTAAATATTATCTGGTATGTTTAATGTGTTTGTTAGTATGACAGATAAAACAGGTTATTACAAGGTTTTAAAAGAAAATTTTGATCATCATCAAAAAGGGGGAGATTGTTGAACATTCAAGGACTTGATGTTAGACTTGATGGACATGAACCTTGTTGATTTTGATGATGATTCAAGAACACAAGAACGTAAAGAGTTGAAGACTTGTTTTATAATGTAATAACTCTGTTTTGATTAGATTGAGTCTGTAATATTAGAGTTTGAGATAGTCGGTACATAGTCTGCACCTTAGAAGCTTCAAAAAGCTCAATTTTATCAAAGTGTCTTGGCTTTAATCGATTAAATGGTGAAATAATCGATTAAAACAGTGAGAAAAACTATTTTCTGTATCTGTTCACTGGTTTAATCGATTAAAAGACCTGTTAATCAATTAACAGGCATGTTAATCGATTAACAGGTCTTTTAATGGATTAAAACAGAGAGTTTTGGGGTTCTGTTGATTTTGGCTCTGTAATAATCGATTAACACTTCATTTAATCGATTATTTCAGTCAGATTTTGATTTTTAACTTCAAATCAACCCTATTTTCGAAAACCCTAATTCCAAGACTCCTAGTTTCGAAAATCCCAATTCTCAAACCCTAATTTCTCTACTTAAGCTTCTCTATAGCACTCAGAAAATTAGAACAACCTTTTTCATACAAAAGTTAAGTGTTGTGAGTGCTAGAGAACTGTTTGTTACAAGAAAAATGGGTTTTTGGAACCTGGTGTGGGCTAGAAGCGATAAGAATCACTAAGTGGAGTTCTTAGTGGATTGTGTGTTGTGGCGTCTCTAAGGAAAGTTGTTCTTCATCTCTTGTGGATTTCAAGAAAGGTGTTTTCTTTACTTTATCTTTTCCATTGTAATCTGTTTGTAACAACTGTGATTATAGTGATAGCGTTAATCCTCTGTTTGAGTGATTAGCAACTGGACGTAGGGTCTTTTGATCCGAACCAGTATAAATCTTCTGTGTAAGATTCTATCTTTACTCTATTTACATTTACACAGTTTTTTAATCGATAAAATTTGGGGAAAATTTTGAAAACCTAATTTTTGTTAAGAAACCAATTCACCCTTTTTTTTTTTGTCCGACCACGCGAACATTACGCTGCGCGATTCTAACAGTTTTGTCCGATAACAAACTTCAAGGCAAGGTTACAGCTTCCTTTGGGAGCATGTGCAGATTACAGAGATTATACCTGGAAAATAACAGGTTAAATGGCACATTTCCGAGCTTCATTCAAAATTCTTCATGGTGCAACAGACACATATTACGGACATTGCGATTATCTTACAACCAAATTACTGGCAAGATACCCGAGGGCTTTAGCCTGCTATCTGAATTGGAGCATTTATCCTTGCAGGAAAATTCTTTTGAGGGCGAAGTCACTGAATCTCATCTTTCTAATTTTTCTAAATTAGAATACTTATTCTTGTCACACAATTCGTTGTCTCTAAAATTTGGGTCCAGTTGGATGCCACCTTTTCGATTAAGATCCTTGGGTCTTGCATCTTGCAAGCTAGGTCCGAATTTTCCTAGTTGGCTCCAGACTCAAAGCTCCTTAATCTATCTGGATATATCTGATAATGGGCTTAATGATTCTGCACCTGCATGGTTTTGGAACAAGTTGCAAAATATGTACGAGTTGAATATGTCTCACAATAATCTCATTGGTTCAATTCCTGATCCGCAATTCATGCTTTCTTCCAGACCATCTATAAATTTAAGTTCAAATAAATTTGAGGGAAAAGTTCCATCATTTTTGCTACAAGCTTCAGAGTTGTTACTCTCTGCAAATAAGTTTTCCGATTTTTATTCATTCTTATGTGGAAACATCACAGCTACAAACTTGGCTACTTTAGATTTATCATATAATCAAATAAAGGGACAACTTCCAGATTGTTGGAAATCTGTAGACCAGTTATTGTTTCTTGATTTAAGCAACAATAAACTGTCAGGGAAGATTCCTATCTCCATGGGCACTCTTGTTAATTTGGAAGCTTTGGTTTTACAAAACAATAGTTTAATGGGTGAATTGCCATCCTCTTTGAAGAATTGCAACAATTTAATTATGCTGGATGTGAGTGAGAATATGTTGTCCGGTCCAATACCATCATGGGTTGGAGAAAGCCTGCAGCAATTGATAATCTTGATCATGCGAGGGAATCAGTTTTCTGGAAGTATTCCCCTTCGTCTATGTTATTTAAAGCGTATTCAATTATTAGATCTTTCAAGGAATAAGTTATCAGAAGAAATTCCATCTTGCTTCAAGAATTTTACTGTATTGTCTGAAAAGAGCATCGATAGAATTGAAACTGAAAGTCGTGTGCATTGGTACAATAGTACTTACTTTGCAACTTACACTGTTTTCAGTTATAGTTATTATACGCTTCACATAATATGCATGTGGAAAGGTGTGGAACGCAGCTTCAGATCCAAAATGATTCTTCAGAGCATTGATCTCTCAAGTAACAATTTAACAGGTGAAATGCCAAAAGAGATTGCATATATGCTCGGGTTAGTTTCTTTGAATTTATCAAGGAACAGTTTGAGTGGAGAAATTCCTTTCGAGATTGGAAATTTAAGTTCACTTGAATCCCTTGACTTATCAAGAAATCAATTCTATGGGAGAATTCCTTCTTCTATTTCTTAACTTGATTTTCTAGGAAAATTAGACTTGTCACATAACTCACTTTCTGGAAGAATCCCATTGGGAAGACACTTGGATACATTTGATGCTTCTTGTTATGAAGGAAATATTGATCTTTGTGGTAAACCTCTTGAAAAAAGGTGCCCTGGAGATGAGAGAGTGACAAAGTGTGAAGGAGGAGAAGTGCATGATGAAGGTGATGATTCAGCATTGTATGGAGCATTATACATGAGCTTAGGGCTGGGATTTTTGACAGGCTTCTGGGGCTTATTAGGGCCATTACTAGTTTGGGAAGCATGGAGAATTGCTTACATGAGGTTCTTGACCAGACTGACAGACTATATTCTTGTAATGGTTGAAGTGAAGATAGCAAAGTGCCAAAGGTGGTTCAAAGACTAGCAGGTACAAAATTCAAAGACTGTATAGATAATTTTATTTTAATACTAATTTAATTATATTTGTTTGAAAGTTTGATTGTAAAATAAATATCATCTAAGTGTTAATTTTATAAAATATTTTATTCTTATTTTGTAATGTATAGTGTGAATATATTAAATATTTTTATCTTATTACTCGAACATATTAACAATCAAATGATTTGATTAGTTATTTTATAAATTGATTTGATTATTGAACGGTAATTGTTGTAAAAAAGATTGCAGATACTATTGCAGACTTCGATTGATGTGGATGAATGAAATCATTCATCGATATTTATTTAATATTGTGGTTATAATGTATTTCATAAACTTGTTCCAGAAACTTTCTATGAATTGATGGAGTTGTACTGCATAGTACACATGTAACCGTTGATTCTTATTAACTCAAGTGCTTAGAACTGTGAGATCCAAAGTGTGATTATATTTTATCTTCAACAACTCTTCAGCAAGTTTCGAAAATTGTTAGTCTTTTTAGAAATTTTATATAAAGACAAACCAAGTATTTCTCCATTGATATGTAGATGATAACTCCATTAAAGTCACAGAGTCTGTTTAGCAGTATATATCTTCATGCTCCCTTGAAAATGAAAGACAAAAATTATCTAAAATATTGCCTTGGTTTCTCACACCACAAAGAAAAAGTCAGTTATTAAACCAACATTTACTTCTTGTATTTGTAAGTTATAACTTATAAACTATTGATAATAATGCAAGTCAATCTCTTCCATTTTAGCATGTCCTTTTATTTGGTGAGGAAAAGACAAGACAAACAATGTTTGTGAGTTATATACTCGTATATTAATTTTTTTTTAAAATAACATTGTATATGATGGACACATATTATTTATTATATTATTTTTATAAAAATTTAATTAAAAAAATAAAATATAATAATAATCTCTTTTAAAAAAAATTATTGTAAACTTTAATTAGATAATATTTTTCTTGTTTAATAAATTTAATCTTTAATTTTATAACCTTTTTATTTGTCTTTGATATTTGTATAAAATAATCATACGTAAAATTCACGTGACTATTTCGCAATCTTTTTAATCACAGTTGATTTTAAATTATAATTATCTTAAATTAATAAATAATTATGTACTAAAATAAAATTAAATACTAAAAATAAATAAAAATACAAAAAATGAAAATTCAATTCAATTAAATATAAAAAGAAAATAAAAATATGGACAGTCCGCCACGTAGTTTGGTCCCACAGGGAAGGGGTTGAAAATATATCCTTTTTTTATTTTTTATGTTTATATATATATTATTATGTATTATGTAGAAAATTATACAGCGTATTTTCATCTTCAACTGATAGTCACATGATTTGTCAATGCTATCCTTGGGTCTTAATTTGATTTAAATTAATTTATTCTATTATTTTAAATGTTAATTATCAATACATATATGATATTCGATTAAGAATTTTATCACTTGTAAAAAGTTTGTCAATGATAATTTTGAAATTCTAATCTTAACCTAATTAACGATTAAAAGATTGATTTTTTTATTAATTTTACCTTTTTTATCTAAACCTTATATTTTCTATAAATTTGTCGATTTATTTTTATAATTTTAAATGTTTTTTTAAAGCATATAACCTTTTCAAATGTTGTAAAGAAAACGCTATTTTTTATTTTTTTTAAAATATTTATGATATAAAATTATCAAAATTCGAATTACAAAATCCTAATCATAATTTTTAAAAATATTACCAAAATTCTAATATAATATTAGATGTGCAACACTATCCAATTATTTAATATGAGAGGATCCATACCGTACACCTTCATGCAGCGGATCCACACACAGAACCATTCAGTTCAGTAGACTACTATTTCAATTGCTATTTTTTTATTTATTGGTATGGTATTAGGGATTCGAACCCGCACTCACGCACTCACCTTCTCATCTCTTAAAAAACACAGCATGGCGCGATCCTGTCCCAGTCCGTTACAACCTGCGACGCTTTTGGGTGCTCCTTCTTTTCCCAACGCCATTGCTTGGTCCGACGACAACCTCATCGCTGTTGCTTCTGGCCACCTCGTCACCATTCTTGTACTCAATGCAACCTTCACTCTAGTTAAATATGCTTTTCACTTTTCTTTCTCTGTTCCATCAAATAAATTTGTTCCTTTGTTTTTATTTCTTCTTTACAGAGGCCTGACTTGCCTGTTGGTGGACCACGAGGTGTGATTAAAGTCTCCCCAAACCATCCTCCCCCCGTAGGGCTTGTAGAAAGAAAAGGTATTGTCATTGCTGGAACCTTATACATTTTGAAAATCGCTTGCTAATTCGCATTAGCGTTTTATTTCGCTTGTTTAGTATAGATTTCGATGAGATATTTTGTGTGTCCTATCTATGATGAATGACTCAAATTAGTATGTATGAGGGTAGCTAACCCTCACTTCATAAGCTGGTTTTTGAGGTTGAGTTATGTTCAAGTCCAAATTTTAAGATGGTATTAGAACTCATAATAGTAGTTTCTGACTTTCAGGCCACCTGTTATCGGATTACCTGTAGTCCTTAATGAGATGTGTTGGAAATATCATAGTCTATATAAGTGGGGGCAACCCTCATCTCATCAGAGTCTATCCTAAAAGTTGTTATTGGACCTTACGGGCCACTCATTATCGATCACCTGTAGCTGTCCAGTTTTTAAACTTCACACTGAGGAATTTTAGACCTTGGTATGGGAAAGTGTGTTAGAGATCTCACGTTTACTTGTAATATAGTCAAAATAATGTATATAAGTGGGGGATCTTCCTCATTTATGAATTGCTTTTGGGGTTAAGTTAGGTCCAAGCTTAAATTTTAAGATTACGTAACATTATTATCTTTTAGTGTGTGCTTATAGTTAAAATTTCACATGTGATAATGTTGATTGAGAGTGGGAAATTTTCAGTGGCCCTGTACCAACCACATAATGTTAAAATATGACTTTTATGTGTTGGAATTGAGTTATGTGCAGATTTACTCTCTGGATGCCTGCTGCCAACGGCCTTGTATCGGGATGATAAGCCTGTCGTCCAATCAATATCATGGTCTCCACTTGGCATGGCTGCTAATTCAGGGTATGGATTTCAGTTTTCTTGGTTAATTTCATTTCATCTGTGTTTCTTTTTTCATTTTTGTTGTAATAATAAGACTCCATGTACTCCTAAAACTAGAAGGCAATTATATAGTCATAGTCTTTTTGGTACATGTTGAATTGCGCATGTAATGTAATTGTCCAGTAGGAATTCGTGGCCAGGTAAGACCCTTTGAAATGGTGATTCTAGATTTTGAATCTCTGATTTCACAGATAGATTCTCTGTGACGCTGTGATTCTAGGTTTCCAATATCTGATTTTGTAGAGAAGGCCTGCCTGGGTGGGGTCATAGTTATTTCTAGCAGCGTCATAGTTTACTCATTCATGAAAATTCAATATATTTTTACAGATTTTTAAAGATATAATTTGCTACAGGTGTTTGATCGCTGTTTGCACCTCTGAAGGACAAGTGAAGATCTATCGTCCACCTTTTTGTGATTACTGTGCTGAATGGATTGAGGTATGCGTGGTGGAAATGGTATAATTATGTATTAATGAGAAGTTATCAATATTTCTTCATAAATATTGTAATTTTGTAAATTATGTTATTTTTAAAATTCATGTTAACACATTTTGCCTTTATTGAATCTTGAATTTTTAAGAATTACTTGTATTTGTGTCATATCGTACCTGTGTTGTATTAAGTGTTTGGGCTTCATTCTATTTCCCATGTATGGATCTGTGCTATATAAAGAAATGAATATTTTAATGTTTTATGTTTAAATTGTTGGCAAGTATAATATGCCTCTTATATTCTGTTCAGGTTGTGGACATAACTAAAAGGCTATATGAGAATCTTCGATGTACTGAGTTTCGAGGTACAGGGATTGACTCATTGGATGTATCTAATGTAAGTTATCTTATTCATCCATGTTCTTGGACCTTGGTTGGGTTTCTTTTTCTAAATTTCTTTAGGTGAATTAGTTAGCAAACAAGACAAGTCATAATTGTCATCAATTTTCTTCTTATTCCTTTTTTGTCAATGTCTGACATCATTCATTAGATGCTTGTAGAAAAGTTAAGATAAGCTTATAAAATGTGAAATACTGTTTCAAGTGACAAATGTACATGAACTAGTTTTATCTTACTTATATTATTTGTGTACCTTGTCTAATGTGCATATGCACAGCACAAGTATTTGCTTATTATATATGGACATAAATTTTGTTTCCCCATTTAGGCAATTAACTTTTACTGTTGTTTTGATGTTTCTGCAATGACTTTTATTATGTCTAGATAGAGATTCCAAGAATGGACTTTTATAGCCATCAGGTTTTAAGCATGAAAATGCTTGTTCTAGAAAAGTCAAATGCTAACTACTGGAAACAAATTGTTTAAGAGCCATCTAAAACTTCTCTATGATTTGTGTTTATTTTATTGTGAGTTTCCTAATATTAGGTTGATCCTGCAGAAAAAAGCTTCAGATCAAACAGATTCTTTGTATAAACAGAATGGGAAATTGTTAAAAGAAAAGCCTGAGAAACACTCTTTGCCACTGATAAGTGCTGATCAATATGCTTCTCGTAGTGCAATGCTATGTTCACTTGTTGTGTCATGGTCTCCCTTGCTGCGTTTAGCATCTGAATATGATCCAATTTGTGATTCTTTTAGTCTTCTTGCTGTTGGAGGGAAGTCTGGTAAAATTTCTTTATGGAGATTTCATTCACCAGATTGTTATACTATTGAAGACAGAGAGGTCCAAACTACTGTGAAGTTTGTTGGCCTTCTTCAGGCACACAATTCTTGGGTTACAACTATAAGTTGGTTGTTGTTTGCTTTTGATCCTTCAAATCCTCAAATTTTATTAGCTTCTGCAAGCTCTGATGGGAGGTGAGTTTTAGCATGCTTGTGAAAATATG